TGAACAAGCAGCTATCAGATTGGTAAGGCAAAGTAACGTTGTCGCATCAGACAGCATTGTCATACCATTACCCCCTCTTGTGTAACCACACCATTTTGCCCCTGTTAATCTCACATTATCGATTGTTACTTGCAACCGGTTTCTTGACTGGTTTCATTGAAGTTAACGTTGGGTAGATTTCTTCCTCAAGTGAATTCGCAGTTAGCACAAAGATTGAAATCGGACCCGGTACCTCCTGTGTTCGAGGTCGACCTCATTGCCTTGTGCCACCATGCTCCATATCCTTGGCATTGGTGTCTGTAAGTGATTTGATTTACACATTCAATTAAAATTGGCTAGACTACCTCGTGGCACGAAGCTTGGAGGATGGAATACACCTCCTGACTGATATTGCCAGAATAAGTATTCTCTCTGCCATTACAATACCTACAGCTACGTGGCACAGCACGCAGGCAACAAAAACTCGTTTGTTTACGTAACGCAGGTGATAGACAAGTGATGAGTCTCCGATTTTAACCACAGTCCCTAAAGCGGCATGTCAGCTCTCGACGGGCGATGCTGACTGTAGAAGAATCGAGTCAGATGGAAAAGCAACAAGCTGTAAGGCAGCATAGAAAAACTTGTGGCACGTGAATCTATTGTTTTTACTGCAGAAACAGTGCAATAATAGAAACCATAAGAGATTCCATCCCTCTGAATCATCAGTTATTCCAATTTCTGACTGCGAGCACGTGGAAGCTCATTCGACGTGCTGTAAAGGCACTGTGCCTTCTGCCTCCTCCATTCCAAAGAGGTAGCGACTCAATTCTTCATTGATATTTTCGTCATCTTCTAGGCAGCCTTCAAAGCTCTATCACGTTGCCAGCCCACGAAAAGCGTGGGACAAATCTTGATCGTCAACTTTTCGCAGTCTGCCTCAGTTCCCCTACAGCCTGCCCCGTCTTCTATAACCCGGATTACGACCTCGTCCGTATAATATCTGACATTGTCAATACCGTGAGGAGCAGGTGGCTACGTTTCCATCGGACGTTACCACTCTGTCTAATACCCATCCCTCTTCGTCAGACTACAATTTTAATTGTACCGTGGATCTAGATATAGGCTGCGTAAGTGATGTTGGTTTATGCCCATGAAATGCAAGTGCTTAAATCCTGTGAAGCCGCAGTGTATTAAACTGAATCCCGAAACAAGCAAAGTAGCAAGGCTGGTACAGTTACGTCGTGCGAATCTTTTCGGCATCGTAAATGGAAGCCGATACACCAAAAGAGAAAACTCAAGGGGGCATCCGGGTTTGAACCGGAGACCTCTCGATCTGCAGTCGAATGCTCTACCACTGAGCTATACCCCCAAACGATGGTATTTTCCGAGTTAGTCCTTTTTAATTAAAGACATGACAAACACCTTTAAATGAAAATAATTTTTTGCAAAATGGCGTCGTATAATCATTTTCTCATATATAATTTACACATTTACGATCATAGTACCCACATTGTAAAATGAAAGAGATCTAACTGCAAGTAAAACCATCAACCTCAACTACATTAGAGTCAAAATCCAAACAAGTCAAATCAACGAACAAAAACTGTATTTAAAGGTGAATATTTATTGAACTTTGCATGAGTGTTCCGGAGTGGTCTTCACGAGTGTTCTAAGCTGGTACTGAACTGACCCATAACCCCCGACGTCCTCGGTTTGTAGATAGTTCAACTGATATGTTAGAAACGCAACACAAGATGAAGAATTGAATGATTTTGGAAACAACGCTTCTCAAATCGTCTGTCAAGTCTTCGTGGGATTTCGCAGGATTTCACGGATTTAGTTAAATACCAACACGGAAGAAAACTCTGCAAGACAAAGTCACGAGATTTGCTCATTAGGAGAAGGGCAGCAGCCTGATCTGAAACGAACAAAGATATGCTACTAACGTCTGTTTTGGCACTTAATTATTTAATTTTATTAATTGACTGACTGAATTTGAATTAATTTAAATGTAGTCATGAAATGAAGGTATTTGATGTCAGCAAAGACCGGATCATAAGCATAACCTATCACTGATAAGCTCATAAACTTTATTCAGTTATTCATTGGATACTTTATTTGGAAATTTCTAACGTTACTGTGTGTAGAGTTACCCATACAAACATCTTACAGTAAATACGTATCTCAGATGACGGCGATAAAATCTGCCCAATGTATGTGGCTGCTGCAAGACGGTTTGATTGTAGCTGTAATTATTAACTGTACCCATCAAACACAGTCAGTAATTTAAGCATTTCATCCAAGAACAGATTAACAAAGTAGAGTGGAAGCTAAACACGTGCAAAAGCTCAGAGTTAACTGCAATAACTAGAGGAGACTTCCAAACTTGCCCTCCCCTGGACATCCCATTCCAACAAAAGTTAAGTGAAAGAATCAAACGTT